GTATCTTACATAAACACATTTTAGTCCACCTAGGTTGTCACTCAATTATCAAAACCAAAAAGGACCTTTCACCAAATGCCTGCCTCTGGAAGTAGATTAAAAAAGCAAAAAAGACAAAAACTCATTATCGAGCCCGCTATCAGGCTCTCCGATCGAGTCCTGGCCTTGATCTGTGTTGCATGCTACCGATCTGCCCACTGCATCGTGGATCTGTCTGCCTTGTGGGTCCACGTGCCGTGCCATCGAGCCTGCTGATAGAGGACCCAACCGTCACGTCTCGATTAGCCCTGGGAAAATTTTACCGAGAACCGAGAACCGAACCGAACTAACCAAGAACCAAAATTTCGGTTACCTGTTCGGTTCTTAGTTCTTAGGAACCGAACTTTGTTCGGTTAAATCAGTTCCTCCCCTCAGTTAACCAAAATAACCGAAGAACCGAAGGCCCAGCTTGAACTACTGCTTGACGCCTTGACCTTGAGCGAGTAACCATAGCCACTCCGGTCTCCACCCCGAGACCTCCCGGCCTCCTCACCCATGCCGCATCCCCACCCACGCCGCCGCCACGCGCGCCTGCCCCAGCGGCAAGCGCGCCCTCCCGACGCCCCCCTTGCGTCCTCCTGGCGCGCCCTCTCGGCCTCCCCAGTTCGGCGCCGCATCCCCACCCGCGCCACAGCATCCCCACCCGGCCACCTGCGCCGCATCCCCACCTGCGCCGCCGCCGCGCGCGGCTGCCCCGGCGGCCCGGCGCGCCCTCCCTGCGCCCCTGCCTGCCGCGGTGCCGCCCTGCCCTGCTGCCCCTACGGGATCCCCGCCGGCCGCCGGCGCCGCCAGCCTGCCACAACCCAAGCTCGCAAGGCCCTCTTGGTCCGCAGTCCGCACGTCACCGCTCACTAGCGCCCTCCACCCCAAGACGGCTACATCCATTGCCTCCTGCAGTGTAAGTATTTTGCTGACAGATATGATTCAAGATCTGAATGTATGTGTCACTTCAATTATTTTTTTCAGATGTCTCAGCTTGAGGAGGACATTGACCAAGAGATCAGTAATTGGGTGGAAGGGGCAATCAGCTAGATTACCCATATTGTCTAGATTGGCTCGTGATGTGCTTGCCATCCAAGTATCCACTGTCGCTAGTGAATCTGCCTTTAGCACAAGTGGGCGTATACTAGATGATTTTAGGACTTCACTCACTCCATTTATGGTTGAAGCTCTTGTTTGTACTCAAGATTGGCTTAAAAGGGCAACTCCCATCGATATTGCAGAGAATACAGAAGAGTTGGCAAAACTAGAAGAAGGTGATTCAATATGTCATATCTTTTGTTTGTTGTTTTCATTGATGAAAAAATATTTAATATATCTTTTTTTTGTCTCATTTCAGAAATTATTCAAGAGCTCAAGGAAAAAGCCATTTTGGATGGCCATGCTGCAAAGTCACAAATTCAAGGCAGCAAAAACAAGATGGTCACCTCCACCAACATCAGTTCACAGCCAAGCAAATCCTCCAAAGCAAGCAAGAACAAGAGCACAAACAAGTCCTCCTAGCCTACAGCTACATGATCATGTGAGCATTTTTCAGAAGGTGTTTCAGTCATATGATCGGTCCTTTTTTCTAGACATATCTAAATTGTGACCAATTTTATAGCTTATTGACTTGTTTCACAACCTGTTTCAGGCTTCCTGGTGCTTTTGGAGACTGGAGCGGAGGGCTGGTTGGTGGCTTCCTGGTGCTTCCTGTTTCAGGGTTGGAGAGCGGGTGTTGACTGTGCTGTACCACTGCCCACTGTGGCATTATCTATCTTAGTTTCTCATTCTGTTTTAATATCTGTTATGGTCATGGACTATGAACTATGGACTGTTTAATATCTGTTATGTATGGACAAGGACAATGGACTGTTTTCTGTTCCTGTGGGTTTGTGGTTGACTGGTTGTGAACTTGTGATTTGTGAATGTGCTGATGTGTTGGTTGTGATTTATTGATTTGCATATGTTGCCATGTCATTTATGCCTTGAAAACAGCCAAAATGTTGCTAAATTTTTCTACTGTAACCTATTCAATAATTGGTCGGTTAGTTCGGTTAGAACCGAGAACCGAACCGAACTAACCGAAACCGAACTTGGTCGGTACCGAGTTTTTTGAAGAACCGATCCGTACCAAGTTTCCTGAGAACCGAACTTTCAAAAACCGAAGAACCGATGAGTTTGGTTCGGTAAAACCGAACGCCCAGGCCTGGTCTCTATCAGGACGTCGACTGCGCCACCACTCCTCCACCAGATATGGCCGCACCACTATTGGATCCGCCGTCGCTCCTCCACCAGATTCGGCTGCACCTCCATCGAGAGCCACCACAAGGGCCTCCTGGAGCCGCCCCGCACATGCTAAGGGGAGCCACCTCACGTGCGCCCCCAGGGGCAGCGGCGCCACCTCTGCCTCTGTGTGCTCAGAGCCTTCGCCTATGCGTGAGCGCTATTGGAAGCAGCGGCATAACCTCTGCCATCGCGGGCGCGTGCCTCCGTTGCCTCTGCTTGAGCGCTGCCGGGAGCAGCATCGCGTCCTCTGCCTCTCTTCGTGACATGTGAAGAGAAAGAGAGAGGAGGCTATGAGTGAAGAAAGAAAACCCTAAGGCATTGTTTATATATGGATAGAAATTAATTTGTTGTTGGGCTAGTCCAGATTTCAAGAGTCAGGCTATCTAAGGCGCATGCCTCCGTAAATTAATTTATAGAAGAGGTGGACGTCCTAAAATATCCTACCTTTGTTAATGATATATTTTCACATCTGGACATTTTAAGAAGCCCTTCTTTTTTAATCCATTTTTAGAGGCGGTCACTTTTTAAGTATCTTCGTAAATGAGTTGTCTGTCTCTAAAAATCATGGGAAATTTTGGGAGGCAGTATGATTTTGTGCTCGCCTCCATTGATGCAGGGGCCTGTCTCCTAAAATGTTTTTAGTAGTACTGGTAGTAGTGGCACGAGGTGAGGCGCAAGATTTGGCAGTGGCAACCACGCGCGGGCGGAGGAGCAACAACACGGTGTGAGGAGATATAGCAGCGGTCGTGCGCTGGCCAAGCTCCGAGAAGCAGTTATGCATACACCGGGCAAGGGGCGAGGCCTAGTGATACGCAGCGTCTATGGCCAAGCAGAGGAAGAAGCGTGCGGCGGGTGCTGACCAAGCAGAGGAGGAACAATGTTGAGAAGAAAGTGGGAGAGGCCAATGCGTGGGGCCCATCTGTCTGGGACCTCAACTCAAATCTGATATCTTCGAAACCAAATATAAACATAGGATAACCCTATCCCTCTGAGAGCATCTCCAAGAGTTCCCAATAATTTTTTCCCAAAACTATTAAGTTTTCCAAATTACCAAAAAGTACTGGGACAAATAAATAAGACCATCTCCAACGGTTTCTAATAATTCAGTCCTAAAAATATAGAAGACAATTTTACGTCAGGAATCCTATACTATTTCTAAATTATCCCAACCAATTTTATATATTCTTTCTCTCTTGTACATTTGTATCAGGAACTATTTCCTACTATTTATTCTTTCCTACACCCTTCCACCTTAGATTGGCAGACCGATACGCGCGTCTTCCACGCGCGCATATATCCACGCTTTTCGGTGATTTTTTAGGTGCCTAAAGATTGGGAGGTGGGATCAGGAACTTTTGGATACGAGGGTTTTCAGTTCTTGCCAAAAATCATAAATTGGTAGGTGTTATCGGAATTCTTGGAGATTTTTTGAGCAACTGGGAACTCTTGGAGATGCTGTAACCAAACACAAAGGCCTCGTTCGCTTTGCTGAAAAAATAAGCCGAAACACTGTTTCGGCTGATTTGTTGTGAGAGAAAAATACTGTTCCGGCTGAAAAAAACAAGTTGAAAAGTACGGATTATAAGAGAAACGATGTTGACAGAATATCGTCGGCAGTCCTCCGAGGGGTATCCCACGAAGGTAGATTGATCGATAGAGATGCATGTAATCGAGAACAAGAAGGCAACAGAGACACACGAATTAGACAGGTTCAGGCTGTCAGTATGACGTAATACCCTACTCCTATGGTCTATTGGATTGTATTGGCTATCGTATGATATTGCGTGAATTTGGAGGGGGTCCCTACCCGCCTTATATAGTCCGGGGGCAGGGTTACAAGTCGGTTAGATCTAGGAGATAATCGGAAAGTAATAACAGATTACATAAATTATGGGATAATACGTATGCTAACAGATCTCGTAGTATCTTCAGGATTTCCTCCCGGTGTCTTGCGGGAGGCGCCGAACAGCGTCGTGCCCTGCAAGGCTTCGTCTCATGGGCTGAGCCGCCCCTAGGGACGCTGCCCATATAGTCTGCCGTGGGTATCCGAGATCGTACCCCCACGAACGAACAGGGCCAAAATGGATCCAACACAACCTAAAAGGTTGGAATAAAACTAACCCATTACACATTAGGACACACTCAACCCTAAATGCGGACAAAGAATGGAGATATAGCGAAATTGGAAAATGCGAACGGTGACGACGCGGCAAAGGCCGACTTCTGTCAAAAATAAGTGGGCCGAGGCAGCCGATGTTCTTTTTTACTGGCGGATTAGATTGGCCCAATCCAAGGGGCAACGCTGTTTGATTTACAACCCAAGCAAGCAGCAGTTTACAAGCAGCTTTATTATTTAGAATAGAAAAAAAAACTTTGGCAGTAGTACGTTCACAAAGACTTTGGATCTAATAACGGGCTCCCAAACAGGCCCTGACTGAAGTCTAAACATCAGAAGCAAAAGCACCATCACACGACCCATAAAAAGGGCAGAAGCGCACTTATATCGCAAAAAAGCAGATAACGAAATCAGCCAAACACAAATTGCTTGCACCAGTCACAACGCAACGGCTCGCAGGCAAGAAGCAATCGTACATCGCGTACATTCACGAACGCCCGCGGCCTGCTTTATGATCAGTGCAGTTTTTAATTCCTCTCGTAACAACACACGCGTTGCATTGCATTGCATGCTACGCCTACTGCTTCTGTGGCTGTTGCGGCTGGGATAGGGAGGTATCGAAGGACCTCCTCCTGACGAGGAGACAGGTGACCCTCGCCGCCGGCTGCATCTGCTGCGGCTGCTGCTGCTCCATCCCCCGCGTGCGCATGGCGTCGCCGAGCGTGCACAGCACGAAGTCCGGGCGGTGCAGCGAGAGCGGGAGGCGGTCCTCGCCGACGGCGAGCGCGGTGGCGTCCAGGAGCACGTGCCACGCGTTGCGGTGCGCCTCGGAGACCCAGTGCAGCGAGTACCGCGCGCCGGAGGTGGCGGTGGAGGAGGGCGACGACGAATTCGAAGGGGAGACGGCCGGGTAGGCGAAGAGGCCCTTGGGCACGTGCTTGGACTTGCGCCGGAAGTACTGGCTGAGCTGGGAGCCCTTGATGCGCAGATCCAGCCACGACTCCGGCGCCGCGATCACCTTGGCCTCCTTGTACGCCGCGAAGGCGCGGATGCAGTCGCTCTCCTCCTCCAGGATCGACATGTAGTAGCTGCTCCGGAAGAAAGGGTAGCTCTCCCCAACCTGCAATAGTAACCATTGTTACTAATTTGTTACAGTGGAGGATGACAAGTCTTAGCTCTGATGGGCCTGACTAAATTAATTCTTGTGCTTGTGCAGGTGCATCAGTTTATTAATTAGATGCTCGGTCGGCCCATCTGGATAAAAATAATGCTACTTTGTGGTTGCTTCTCATGTAGGGTCGATTAAAGGGTCAAATGACTATACTAAATCATTGTGTCACACTCAAGCTCTACCATTTGCACCTCGTTGGTCCTCTATCTCAATGTTCCAAATCACCCAATAATCTATCGCAAAGCTTTGTACTAACTTCAAAACCAGGACCATGCATGTATTATGTGTTAACGAAACACCAAAAGAATGTTTCATGGAGGAATATGATCAACGAAAGCCACCGTAAAAACCTGTAACTTTTTCACCAATGCAAGTTGGGAGCTTAAAATTTTGAACTGAAAGAATTAAGACCAGCTAGGGCACATGATGATGCTCAAAAACATTATTAGTGAAGTGGAGTTGTTGTAGTAATAAATTAACTAATGATAATGATAACCAACAACAGGCGGCCTACCAGCATCATGGCGTCCCTCGGCGTAGGCGCGAAGAGCACGAGGTACTCGTCGTCGGTGAGGCCGCAGTGGCGGAGCACCCGGTTCCTGGCCTGGATCTCCGGGATCGAGATGAAGCTCCCCGGGAACGACGACTTCTTGGTGAGCATGTCCAGCAGCCGCGACGGCTCCAGCCGGACCATGTCCACCATGTCGGGCCTCGCGGCGGCTGACGACGGCGACCCCACCGGCGACGACCGCCGACGCTCGCCGCCGCCGGCCTCCGGTGACGACGCCGTGCCGCCGTAGGTGGAGTAGAGGTCGTCCTTGTCGCAGCTGCCGTCCTCTATGAGGCCGTGCGAGTACTGCGGGTACATGGCCAGCACGTACTGCTCCACGTACTGCCGCTCGCTGGGCGTGATGGGCCCCGACCAACGCAGGTCCAGCCCGTGCAGCGTCGAGATCGCCTCCGCGATGATGTGCGCCGGGATGAACTCCCGCGGGCAAACCTTCTGCATACAGTATATATTTGCACCAATTAATTCTAATTCTCGGTGAAATTCAAGCATTTAATTTTAGATGTACTACTCCTACAGTAACTAGTTACCTTCACAACCATGCTGTTTGGCCTGCTTGATGATGTGCCAGGAGGGGGTTTGGGAATTGAGGCGCAAATTCCCTCTTTAAATTCTCCACCAAGTAAGCCCTGATGAGTTGGATGCATACATATATACAAACAACCAATAATTAGTACAAGACTGTAATAAGGAATTAAATCATTTTAGCTGTTTTAGTTACTTTTTGCAAATCACCACTTATTATCTATGAATCCTCTAGCTAGAACAAAAACTAGATGACATACATACCTTGTGTTCCATGTGAATGTGCTCCATCTTGCCACACATTTGTGCCGCTTTAATCGACTGTCTAGAGAGAGTATGTGTGTCCTTTGATGGCGTACGGAGCGGGCGAGAAGCCAAGTCACCACAAGAATTATGGAACAAGACGGATTAGACGGTATATAAGAAGAGAAGTGGGGGGGAGCTGATGAAGCACTGAACAGGTTTCAAGGATGATGCTTGTGGTTTAGGTGTTGTTGAATTGGATGTCTCACTTGGTTGCTTCTAAGTCTGGTCCTCAAGGAACAAGATATAGCGCTACTAGGATGCAACAGCTGTTTAACCATGGTCCTTGTTATATATATTATGCCATCCCAGTTCAGCACTGATTGATGAGGCACACACATAACAAATAATGTCCATGTCTCTATCAAAGGGAGCATAAACACTGTTGTGACATATATGAAATATCCAGTTGTTTCTATGTGCTGTTTAATTTGTGATGGTGTGGGTCTATGGCATCCAGCTACAGGTATATGCCATATTCCTCTGCATTATTGGAGGCTTGGTCTTTCTTCAGCTGCAAAAAAAAATGTTTCAACACCGTCGGATTATTGGACCTGCATGTACATAGCTAGAGTGCTATGCACACTAAGCAAAGAAATTTTAGAATGAAGAAACAAGTAAAGCATTTTGACTCAGTCAATAGATCTATTAATCCGTTCTTGAATTTATCTTTAGGTTAAAGTAGGAGTAATTTTACATATATGGTGGCATGAATTTGGATTTACAGCATGTAGTATTATTATATGTTCATCAAATAATTTAGGAAAATATCAAACTGTGTATGAAATATTTTCAAACTACCTAGCTACAGATCCCCATGGATATTTTAACAATACTACAAGTTTTACTTTTATATAAGTCAAGTGCAACTTTACTTCAAAACTGCTCAACTGTTAAAATTTAAACTTAAAGTGGTAATGACTGAATTTTAGAAGGTCTGATAAATTTGTTTTAGGAGTTCACCCTATGGCTATCCCGGCAGCAAGAATCAATGGAATGATGGTCAATTTAGTTGTCACTTTGTTTATAAAAAAATGACTAATCTAGAAGAGTCTGGATAGTGGAGATGTTGAAGAGTAAGGCTATTGAAGAGTAGGTTGATCTAAAGGCTGAAGCAAGGCTGTTGATAGGCAGTGCACTCTTTTGTCATTCCAAACCATTAGATAATGCGGTCTGTTTTGTGCTTTGTGTTCTTATCTTTCTTTAAATTAGGATATGTGCCAATCCAAGTCTCACAGCTTTGTTTTTAATTACGTATTGCTCTTGCTAGCTTCTAGTGGGACAAAGACCTACCCGGAATACAAAGGCAAGGAATCCACATCTCTAATGCTCTAATTTTCCAATCAGAATTATTAAACAACAATTAGGTAATGCTGATGCAAGCACCCAAAAAGTAACCCTTTGGATCTTTGTGCACCGATATACTATAACTGCGGCAGATCGATTTGTCGATGATACTTAAGTCCTTGTGCTCAATTATACGTATTGGTCAGACCATCCATATAGTAGCTGGCTGCATTTTGCTATCTACCGTACGAGTATATACCAGTTTCTAGGGATATGTATGTGATGTAATTACAAAATTCAGAAATTGGTAAAGATTAAAAGTGACGTCAATCACACAGCTTTCAGTTTTCTAGAACCACACGATTAGGTACTGCATATTTTTCACACTATACCCCCATATATACTTGTTTCTCTTTTGATTAAAACAGCACGTAACTACATAGTTAATTGTAGACATAAATAGCCTAAGAATAGTTTTTGCTCTATATTAGAGATATGTAGATGTATTCTATACCCCTGTTTTATAACACATACCATTTGGGCTTATATATACACGAAAATCACCTGACCCCAAAGAGTGGTGTTTATTTCCTAATCTCTTTTTATAGTATCACGAGTCAAGGGTGACATCTGACCTCCTTGCATTGCCCTCCCCCAACCCTAATCTCTCCCCGAACTATAAACTCCTGCAAGCCACCATTTCCCCTCCCTAGCACTACCAAACAACAAATATCATTATTGTCGCCATTATCACTACAACCTGTAGTGATAGATGGGTTTTCACTGCCGATTATCGCCTCCAACTGACGGAGATATATCACTGTGATTCGTGGTTATGCCAGACAATGGAAAACCATCCGTACATATAAAAAAATTCATAACATTTTGTGTATGATGTCACATGAAGACAAACATTATGTCAAGATTGTAGATCTCAATGATATCTAAAACTTCATGGAACCACTTTCTCATTTGAGATAATTTAGATGTTCAAATATTGAATATAATTTAGCAGGCCACTTAAACGATTTCCAATGGAGACAAGATCTACAACTTTATTTTTATGATCGTTTACATTGTCAATGTGCTATAAAATATTCGTAAATATGATGTTAAAAGAGTAGCATCAGTTATATGGTCACACGCCTTACGTGGCTCAGATGGTACGGATGCATAAGGGGAATCTTGAGGTCATGTATTCAAGTATTCAAACCCTAGAAACACACATTTTCCTTTTCTTTTTATAACCCACCTATCATTATGATACCATTTGGCCTATCTGGCTATAGACCAATGCTATGTGTACAGCAGGCTACTCCAAAGTGTTATTGTTTGTGATCACTATGTCTTACCCATGCTTTAGTTATCCCTTCTGGTGTGTACTAGAATAGAACCATAGTAATAGAGAAGTGTATAGGAACCTTGTACTCCCTCGTTGTCCTCTCAACTTAGCTTGACTGCTCTTCTATCTTACCATGGAATTCTCTTGTGTGTGTCATTATCCATAACTCTTATCGTTATCACTTACCCCTACTTTAGTCTAGTCGGTATACTAGTTAGTAGAAACATGATGGTTAACTATCATCTTCTTTAACCATTGCTTCCCTGTGGATAAATACGATACCCCAGAATAGTCCTGGGTGAAATGCTACACAATATTCTATGTGCTTACGGAATATTCTACTTGAGCATAAGAAATACCAACACCCAACAGGCTAGCCTATGAATGTGCTTTAGCCCCAAGGGGCCTCTGTAGGCTGCTCCCCTAGGCTCAGTAGCACATTGTGGAGCCACCAGTGACAAGGCAGTAACAGTGGCCAATAGACCTAGCGAACCCCTACTCAGGGCGTCTTGGACCACTAGCAAGACCACATAGTAGACCTAATCATGACCTACCCGACCCGACCTGCTTAACAAAACTCGATCCAACCTGACCCAGTCGACACATTCGGTGGGTGCAGGCTATTGATTTTTGCTTGAGCAAAACTCAGCTCTAGCTTAAGAAATTTTAGCTCATGGGCCAGCCCAATGACAAAAGCATGCAGCCCAGTCAAGCATGAGGTAGCCTAGTCAATTCAGCCCATCCCACTTGGATTTCCCCAGCATGAGGCCAACCCCAACATGTGGTCCAGTCAAGCATGAGGTAGCCTAGTCCCTAGCCCTTATCCCCACATGTACTCCTCACACCCCTATCTAGAAGTCCCTATTAGCTTGGGTAAGGACAGAGCCAACAAAAACAACATAATGCTTTTTTAGCCCGACCTGAGCCCGTCCTAGCTTGACTGATGATCATGTCTACCACATTGCATTTTCCCCTTTGCAATTACTTCAAGCCAGGCCAGGCATGGGATTAGCCTAGGCTTGTCACTGCGCTTAACTTGATGTCCTTGCAATAGCTAGGCTCCTATGTTGTGGACATAGGTATCATCTCCCACATGAGCTCTTCTGATGTTATAGTCCTCAATTGTCTCCCTGTCTCTCATTCATTCATAATATCGACAATGGCCATTCCATACCAATCTTGTCTCATGGAACTCCTTTTATCTCCAAAGCTAACTCTAGATTTGTTCCAAATAACATTCTTGTTGTGGTTACCTAGGCTAACCAACACTCTTGCTCTTATCGACTTGGTCATCCTTCAGTGTGGGTTGCCTATGGTTGCTTGCGTTGTTCTAGCATCCCCTCGCATGTAGGCTAGTCTACTAGTGTTACACATGTCGCAAATTGGTTGTTGGTATGTCCAACCCTTGTGGCACTAGTTCCTTTGGAACCAGACTTGTGATGCTCCCATAGCATCGCAGCCTATATGGTGGTTTAGTGTGCGCGATGAAGTCTACCCACTATTCATGTCCCTCTTCAGTGCTCTATCTCTCCCTTGGCACTCACACCTGCCAGCTCTAGCTCCACCTCAATGATTGATGCTTGGTGACCTTCCATCGTCTATTCTATGTCAGATGGTAACTGATCCTCAAACTAGCTCCCTCAAGATGATCGATCGCCTAAACCTTGCCACCCACACTGTGGTGTCACCAATGCAAATCATCATATCATGTTTGCTGATCCTAATTGTCACACTACCATGGTAGAGGAGCATCAAGTACTGCTTGACAACAACATGTGGTGTCTTGTTCCTTGTCCTTCTAGCTCCAAATGGTGTGTCACAGGTGGATCAACATGTATAGGTTTGATGCGATGGCACACTTGCACACCACAAAAGCGTACTAGGTGGTACTAAAAGTGCATTTAGGCAACATAGTGGGGTTTTGATGGATTGAATGATAACAAAATTAAAGGTCTAACAAGTTTGCTAAGTGTTGAATAGAAAATTCAATATATATTGTATACACTTGAAGGTATAAATTGTTGTACAATGAGAAGTGTATCGAAGGTTCAACAAGAAGGCAAACTTATTGGTATTCCATATTGTATTGAAATGACAAGCCAAATTGTGCATTGTTTTAATAGAAGATCATGGAAACAGTCTAGTTCCAGTAGAAGACAACAATGCAAATGGAGTTGATGAAAGCAAACATATTTGGCAAATTGCAAATGAGACATAAGTGATTGCATATGGATTGGTCTCATATGGGAAGCTTGCTATATTAAGAATTATGGTATGAGATTTTGTATCCATCAAAGGACAATAACTTGTGCATTGTTTTAATAGAAGATCATGGAAACAGTCTAGTTCTGGTAGAAGACAACAATGCAAA